AGCTGTTCTTTTTCATTCATCGTATATTTCGTATTGGCTTAAAGCAGTGTTCTTCATCTCGTACTTTTTAAAGAGGATGTTTATTAAAAGTCTGATCCATGAAACTATGACCAAAGGAAATGAGTGTGTAACGGAATCGAATGAGCAATTGTTTAGCCGGCCTATAATCACGATGTGTGACTGACTGGTTTCAACGTAGAACTTTGCATAGATGTACACCAGTTCGAGTTACCAAACTCCATGTAGCACACAAAGCCAGAGAAGAAAGTAAAAAGAAACGCAAAATAGAGATAGTAAACAGAGATATGAGGCAAAAAGAATAGTAATATGGAAGAACAATATAGTTTCATTGGGTATTATAAGTCACAAGGAGTGGATGCATCTGCACCAGCCAGCCATTGAGAACGAGGATTTTGAGCCATATCACTAATTGTCTCCAGCCTTCATTGGCTTTTACCGTCCCAAGGACCCCATCCAGTTAGGAAGTCTACACCTTCCTACATGTCTGGCTGGCTTAAAGTAACTTTTGTGGATTTCATTGACTGATGAAGCCATGTTTTGGTTTGACTACCACTGGCTCTTTTCCACCCTGATCCCATGTCAGCTAACATTGCTCGTTGAGGAAGGCGATGGGTAGGCAAGCTTAACACATGTCCTATGGCAATGTTTGACTGTGAAGGGAGTACCAAGAAAGTACATTGCACTAATCAAGGCATTCACGTAGCCGTGTAAGGGCTGATGGGGAATTGTCATCTGAATTGATAACAGCCAGTGGTGTCCGTCAGGGATGTCCACTTTCCCCATTTCTGTTTAACTTCATCATAGATATGCTAATGGAAGTATCATTAACTGAATCTAACGACTTAGGAATCGACTTGTTACCAGGGAATAGTCTTATGGACTTAGAATATGCAGATGACATAGTTCTGTTAAGGGAGGATGCTGACAAAATGCAGAGTCTTCTGAACACCTTGAGCAGCAATCTTCGTATGTTTGGCATGCGATTCGCCCCTGTGAAATGTAAGATTCTGCTACAGGACTGGACCACGTCAACTCTTAGCTTATTGATAGGAAGTGAAGTGATAGAACCTATTTGGGAAGTTGTATCAGCACCAATGGACTGATTGGTGACGAAATCTCAGTACGGATCCAAAAAGCTCGAGCTGTTTTCGCTAACTTACACCATCTTTGGCGTAGGTGGCTATCAACCAAGGGACGTGTGTACTGCTCACCAGTTCGCTCCGTCCTTCTCTATGACCCTGAAACATGGCCAATACGAGTTGAAGACATGAAAAGGTTGACTATTTTTGATCATAGATGTCTACGATCTCTTTCTCACCTTAGGAGGTGGTATAATAAGCTGGTAAGTAATGTTGACGTTAGGCATAGAGTGTTGGGCAAAGAGGGAAAATCAATCGAAGAGGCTATAAAGTTGCATAGATTGAGATGGCTAGGTCGCACGCTGCACATGCCTAACCATCGCCTCCCCGATGGGCATTACTAGCTGATATAGGTGCAGGTTGGAAAAGAGTAAGTGGTGGCCAAACAAAAACATGGCCTCATCAATCCATGAAATCCCTGACAGTTAAACTGAGTCAGGTAGGGAGGGAAATGCAGACTTCCGGGTTGGGGCCCGCCCTCGGGACTGTAAGAATCAATGGCTGGAGACACTAGGTGACATGGCTCAAAATGATCGTTGTCAATGGCTTACTCAGATGTATTCAGTCTATGTAATCTTTCATATTCCTTTCTACCATTACTCATTCTGTTTCACTCTTATACTTGTCAAAACTCTATTGATTCTCTTCACTCATCTTCTTGTCTACCTTTGTGTGCTATTTGGAACGTGGCAACTCGAACTGCTGCACTTCGGTGCCAAGTTCTATGTTGAATCCAGCCAGCCAGCCAGCATGTTCACCTGAAGGCCTCTCTTTGGTGCTTCTTCTGTTAACTTGTTGTTTTTCACTTGCATATCTTCCAGTTTGTGGGAAATCAGACATATATCATCGGCGAAGTGTGTGCTCTTTGCAACGTGGTAACTCGAACTGCTACACTTCGGTGCCAAGTTCTGTGTTGAATCCAGGCAGACAGACACATGTCCTAACCATCTCAATCGATGTACTTCGCAGTCTCGTTGATTGATTTCCCCTCCTTACCTAGCACTTGACCGATGCCTAACCTCAAAATTGCTCACCCTATTATACTACTTAACACGGGAAATAGAACGCAGGCACTTATGATCAAAAACAGCTAACCTTCAAATGTCTTCCACTTTCAGTGGAAATAGCAGTACAGTTAGGTGTAGAGGGAGAGGCCAATCACTAAAGCTTTGTTTATCGATTCAACACCGCACACGTGCAATCGGAATGACGAAACACCTATACCGGAGATATTGAAAGTGGCAACAAACAACAAGGGGAAGAGAGAAAATATATATAAGAGATATTGTGAAACCGTGTTGTGACTGAAATTGACATGATTATGAGTGGCAATACTTTATGCTCGAAACCTTGTCATCCACTTAATAATACTGCATCACTGTATGATATTTAAAATAAACTTATCTAATGTGGCAAATATATGTGTTCCTTTTGAGAAGTGTTCAGATTTACTTCTAGATAACTTCATTTTATACTGATATAACTAAGCAACTATCGTCATACAGCCAGCCAGCCATCCATACAGGTGATTAACCTTTAAAAAAATGTCAGAGACCAAGATTAATGTAATAGTCTAACTACCTTTTTTATAAAAGTACAGATTTATTAAGTCATCAGATTGATCGTTCACATCATAAAGTTTTTAAAATAAACAAGTTAACAGTGTTTTTATTGATTTCTTTGGTAAACTGTAACTAAAAGCATATGGTATTTAGTGTATCACAAGCTAAAAAAAGGAGAGAATCTTTTGAAGGAAAAAACACACACTTTAGACAACACACTTTCCTCATGATGAGAATTCAGATTAAACACTATCGAATAGACATTGAAAGTGTATCGTAGTGTTAATTTTTAGTAATAGTTGGTTAAACCGTTTCACTCTAAGATGGTTATCAGTCAGAGACTGTGGTAATGCACAGTTTTAACTCTGCGCATATTTTGATTACCACTTGACTAAATCTTAAAGTACTGATTTTTGATTTTTCCATTCATTAGTTTGTTGAGAGATGTGCAACTTCATTTTTCAGCGTAAACTGTACTAAACAGTGCTGCACTTCTTTCTTTATGTCCAGTGATCCGTTAAAGGTGGCTATTTCTGTCGTTTCAATCGAATAGTACAAAAAGTTATGAGTAGTTAGTGTTCACAAGGATCTGGGAGATTTGGACTTTGCCGATGATATGCAAGTGAAAAGCAACAAGTTGGCAGAAGAAGCATCAAAGATAGGACTTCAGGTGAACATAGAGAAAACAGATGTGGTGATGAAGATTCCTGGCCAACACCAACAGCAGCAACAACAACAGACAACAATCAGCATAAATGGAAGAAATCTGAAAGAAGCAACCTCCTTTACCTGCCGACCTGGGAAGCATCGTTTCAACTACAGGTGGACGGAACTGATGAGGATATCAAAGTGAGGATCGGGAAAGCAAGACAAGCTTTCATTACTCTCAAGTCTGTGTGGAGGTCAACAGCACTCAGCATGAGAATGAAAATAAGATCCGGATTTTTAACTCCAATGTGAAGTCAGTGCTATTTGCTATACGGACCAGGGACTTGGCGCGTCATGAAGAGCACTTCAAACAAACTACAGACCTTCATCAACAGCTGTCTTCGCTCAATACCACTCAAGATCAGATGGCCGGCCAGAAAACATCAGCAACAGAGGTCTCTGGCAATGAACGAATCAACCAGGAACCGATTGTGCAACAAATAGGCAGGAAGAAATGGAGGTGGATTGGCCATACTCTGATAAAACCATCAAGTGACATCACGAGACAGGCCATTGCTCGAGTGGAACCCGAATGGGAAGCGGCGAGTTGGTCGTCAGTGTGAGGGTGACATGGAGGAGGTCATGCGAAAAGGAGAGGAAATCTTGTGGGCATACGTGGAGCCAGATGAAAACGTTGGCAGAGAACCGAACTCAGTGGAGACGTGCAGCTGAAGCCCTATGTTCCTCTAGGAACTAAAGGAAACAATAATAATAATATAATAGTGTTCACAAGGCACCCTGAATCTAAGTTTCAAGCTTATTAACACTTTCTTGCATGGCATGTCTTCATCTTGGCGGAAATTCATATTCAATTCGTGATTCAAACTGTTCAGCTACCTTAGATCACAACTGACCGGTAAGACTTGAAAGGAACACAAAGAAACATAATATGAAGGAACGGCAGAAGTAGGACAACACGGAAGATCTGTGCAAATGGTGCGTTGTGTAGATAAGATGTACATAATTTCGCTATATAGAGATACCTAATTCCAAATAAACACTCCTTTACCAAGTCTCTCATCTTCTACCATTACACAACTAGCATTTGGATACATGTTATTCTAGCAACATATCGTCGTTTACCTTCAGTCGGCTAGGTCACATCAACCCACTGTTGTTGTTAAATTTAAAGAAATCTACAGGTAAATAGATAAACAACACGTATATTTATCTTCATCCGTGTCGACGAAAATATGGTTAGTGTCAAATGTTTCTACTAATAAAACCCCAAAATATTTCAGAAATTGCAGTATAAATTTATATCAGTACTTGATATGATTTTATGTGCTGTGTGAATTGAGTAAAAATTGCTTTTTACTATTGCTGTGTTAATTTGAATAATTTTTAAATGTTTCTTAATATGTCATGTTAGGAATTCCAGTTATTGATTCAAGATCTCCTTACACAAATTCGATATGACATAGTTTTTGACTTTTTTCACTATAAACTGTTTATTCACAGAAGAGGTTTAGTTGAAAATTACTTTAATTCTCAAGTGACTATGTTTCATTCATTTTTTTTTTTTTTATCTTCTGTGACTTCATTCTGTTATTTTTATATTGAAAAATAGATGATCAGTCTAACAAAACTTTTGAAAATAATAATAGCAATGAACATCCTGAAGTTGCTGAGGATCTTCCCAGTGAAACTGACCAAAATTCAGAGTAAGTTTACATTTAACTGGACCTCTTTTTAATAATTGTGATAATAATAGAGTTGATCACGGATTGATATCAGTTAGAGAACCATTGAACACAAGCAGGGATTACTGGACAGCTGTTTCCTCCGTTCTAGTTTGGGAATCATCGGCAGTACGCACCCAATGCCAGGGTTCGAACCCAGGACCTTCCGGTTACAAGGCAAGCTGGCTCGTATACCATTCAGCCACTGGAACCCGATTCAATGGCCAGTCCATGAATTCTAACTTCTACCAATTCGTGATTTACCGCGACCCCAACCATTTTCGTTGGTGGGACATCCATCCACACACGTGACATCTAATTAGACCTCACTGGTCACGACTTCTCACTAGAACTCCAGGAAACTCCATCCTGTAGCAAGTCACTAGCGAGCATCAGATTAACTTTTTATAGTTTGGTTTGTAAGGGTTAGTTATGTTTTTACGAGTTGATCACTGGGACTCGAACTCAGGACCTTCTGGTTACAAACTAGGATGAAACAGCTGTCCAGTAATCCCTGGTTTTCTATGGTTCTCTAACTGATATCAATCCGTGATCAACTCGTAGAAACATAACTAACCCTTACAAACCAAACTATAGAAAATAATAATAGAGCTTTATTTCAGACAATATGTGAACACATAGTACAGGAATTTTCAGCGTATTTATTTTTAAAATACTTCCCCTTCATGCAAGATTCGCATGTAAAGTAATAATCTGAAGTATATGATGTGATGTGACGTAGTTAAGAGAGAACCAATTCTGTAAGCTTTATCTTCATCTCCTTCAAGAATTGCACAACGTTCACTTGGAAGTTAATTAAATGTACGTGCGAGTTCATGCGGTGATGGTGGTCAAACCAAAACATGACTTCATTAGTCAATGAAATCCACAATCAGAAGGTCCTGGGTTCGAACCCCGGGGGTGCGTACTGGTGAAGAGTCCCAAACTAGAACGAAGCGACTGTTCAGTACTCCCTGCAGGTTTTCCAATGGTTCTCTAACCAATGTCAGCTCATGATGAAATCCTGTAACCAATCAATCAAATCCCTACAAACCAACACTTGAAATCCACAACAGTTAGTTTAAGCCAGCCAGACACGTAGGAAGGTGTAGACTTCCTGACTGGATGGGGTCCTCGGGACGGTAAAAACCAATGACGGCTGGAGACAATTGGTGATATGGCTCAAAATCCTCGTTCTCAATGGCTGGCTGGCGCAGATGCATCCACTCCTTGTGACTTATAATACTCAATAAAACTATATTGTTCATCGATGTTACTATTCTCTTTGCCTCATATCTCTGTTTACTGTCTCTATTTTGCGTTTCTTTTTATTTTCTTCTTCTTCTTCGCTGGCTTTGTGTGCTGAGTGAAGTGTGGCTACTGGAACTGCTGCACATCGGTGCAAGGTTCTATGTTGAAGCCAGTTAGTTAGTCAGTCAGCCATGCAGTGATCATTTGATATAGTTGCATGATTTAAACAATAAGAAATCCTAAAGAGTTTAAGCATTTTGATGGGTAGAAATTTTTGTAACCCAGTGATTTAAGCAGGCCGCCAACACACTATCATTGATTTGCAGGGATCCTTTGAATAACTGTGTTATTTCATACGTTTCCGTAGCGATTTGTTTGTTTTTCCCGGGATGAGTTCGCTCTAGTCTCACACCTGACCTGTCTTAGGACGGGCCGGTAAACTAGACGAGATTAATCAGAGAGTACTGAACATCTCTTTCGTCCTAGTTTGTGATTCTTCAGCAGTATGCACCATGATCCTCTCGGGGATCAAACCTATGAATGACCTTTAGACTGGAAGACCTCTAAGCTGTTCGATGAAGTAACCGCTAGAACATTTTATACACCTACGCATTCTAAATGAAGAGTCTTGTCCTACTGAGTGGTTCAGATGATGAAATGTTTTGAATTTCGCCTTTCTTGTTTTTCATTTAAAATTATTTATTTTTAACACAACAATATAGTCACTTTTTTATAGCCACTCTCACTTTTTTGATCGTCAGTAATAAATAGGGATTATGGTCAACAAATGGTTGTTTTTCCACTAAACAGGATATTTTTTGCATTTGTTTTCTTTTACCTTCTGGCTTTTTGTATGTGTACCCCTTAGAAGTGAAAACTTTAGTAGTTGAAATGATTGGCTGTCTATTTCACGTTGTTTTCTTATTAGTTTAGGTACTTTATACTCAACTGTATCGTCACTGACGTACAGATTCATACATTAGATAATAATCCAGGCATGCTTGAAGCCTACTTGAACATCAATAGTTGTGATGGGATTTAAAACTTGACTTACTGTACCAATGATCGGTCGGTCGGTCGGTTTTCGACACAGAACTTTGCACATATGTGCGGCAGTTCAAGTCGCCACACTCCACGTAGCACACAAAAAAAGAGAATAAAGTAGAAGAAATGCATAATATAGACAGTAAACAGAGGTGTGAGACAAAGGAATAGTAATAACGGAGAACAAAACAGTTTAATTGGAAATCATGATTCACAAGTAGTGGATGCATCTGCGCCATTGAAAACGATTTTGAGCCATGTCACCAATTGTTTCCAACCATTGGTTTTTACCGTCCCGGCGACCCCAACCAGTCAGGAAGTCTACACCTTCCTACGTGTCTGGCTGGCTTAGACTAACTGTTGTGGATTTCATTGACTGGTGCCATGTTTTGGTTTTCCAGCCTGACCCTATGTGTCAGCTAACATTGCCCCTTGTCGAGGAAGGCGATGACTAGGCATACGTAGCACATGTCCTAACCATCTCAGTCGATGTAATTTCACAGCCTCATCGACTGATTTCCCCTCCTTACCTAGCACTCGACGCCTAACCTCAATATTGCTCACCTTATTATACCACTTCACGCGGTAGATAGAACGCGGACACCTACCAATGAGTGTCAACTTCACACATACACACTCAAATTTTTGAGTACTTATTATTCTTCCAATAGGTGTGCTGTATCATTATCGTGAAAATGTATTTCATACCGTAACACACGCAGTTGGATTCGACTTTTTCCCTATGTTTGATATTTCTTAAATATTTGTCGTCTGTTCATTTATTTGTGCCGGTGGTTCAGTGGTAAAATCCTCTTCAACCACTCACCTGATCCGAATTCGATTCCTGGCTGACTCACTATTAAGCCTTGCCTAGTTTACAAGCCGGTAGTGAGGCTAACAACTCCACTATGTAAAAGAAACAACATCGCCGCTATGGAACAACTTCTTACTGTCGATATGCCGATGACACATTTGTAGTGTGCAACAATGAAAGTCATGCTCCCCACTTACTCAGATTATTCAATGACGCACATACCAATATTGCATTTACTATGGAACATGAAAGTGATGGAAAGTTCCACTTCGTCGACATTGCCATAGTCTTCAGAAGTCAATTTACCGAGTCTTTCTTTTTCCCTGGTAACTGGATATTTCCACCTCTCTTTGGCCTGTTAGCAGCTGATGAGAAGCCAACGAAATAAATGATGGTACCATTTTATTCTGTAAAAACTGTTGTTCTTGCTTTATTCAAATTCATTAAGGGGAATAAATGTATGAAACTTCAAAAGAGCTTGGAATCCTATATTCCACTCAGAATGCAGAAAAAAAGAATCCAAGTATAAAGAAAATTCATTATTCTGTACTACTATACTAATCTTTGATTTCTTCTTTCTTTTCATGAATCTTTAGTGAAATCGTTGAAAATCCACTTGAAAACAGTAACAATGCTATTCCAGATGTAATGCAGGTGTGTTCATGTAGTTTATTTTTTGTTTCTGTTCTTATTTTATTAATGTTTAGTGTGTTATCTCTTTTGTTTATTTAGTTAGCTCATGTTTTTTTGTTTGTATACATGTGTAAATGTAGTACATTGTATTAAGCAACCTGAATTCCCATGATGATTTGTTCCTAGATCTGAATTCAACCTAGGTAATTAGAACGGTAACAGTGATCCACAACGGAAAACTCAGTTAGGCGTTTGGAGTAAACACAGGAGTCAGACAAGGGTGCTTATTATCACCAATGATATTCCTAATTGTGGTGGACTGGATTATGCGTCAGAAAGTGGGACCGATGTGAAGAACCTATAAGACCTGGATTTCGCGCGTGGATGATTTATGTTTGATGTCACACAAAATCGAAGACTTACAAGCAAAAACCGACAAACTGGTCGAAGAAGCGGCCAGAGAAGACAGGACTCCAGGTGAACATAGACAAGACGGAGGTCATGAAAATAACCAACCAACAACAGCAGCAACATCCAGCACCAATCACCATCAACGGGAGGGATTTGAAAGAGGTTACTTCATTCACTTCACTGATCTAGGGAGCATTGTCTCAACTACAGGAGGAATGGACGAGGATGTCAAATCGAGAATCGGGAAGGCGAGAAACACATTCATCAACCTGAAACCAATCTGGAAATCTTCGTCACTCAGCCTGCATCAACAACAAAATTCGGATTTTCAATACAAACGTCAAGTCAGTTCTTTTATACGAATCAGAAACTTGGAGGGTCACAAAGAATATTTCCAACAGGTTGTAGACCTTCATCAACAACTGTCTTCGCTCTATACTGAAGATCAGATGGCCGGAAAGAATCACCAACAAGAAACTATGGGAAGAAACAAAACAAGAACCAATCGATCAACAAATATGCAGGAGAAAGTGTAGATGGATTGGACACTCGCTGAGGAGGCCGCTGGGTGACATCGCGCGTCAGGCCATAGCTCGAGTGGAACCCGAGAGGGAATTGGCGAGTGGGACGTCGGTGCAAGGGTGACATGGAGGAGATAGTGTGAATAAGAGTTGAAACAGTATGGATTAACATGGATGCAGGTGAAAAGTATAGCAGAAAACAGAAGCAGTTGAAGCCCTATGTTCCACTAGGCACCCAAGGGAACAATAATAATAATATAATAACTAGAACAGTATCATTGACCGTCACACATAAGCACAACTCATAGCGCATCAGAAATCTGTTCTAGATGAATAATTAAATTCTTTAAAAAAAATTATTTGCACATGTTTCGAATCCAGAACCTTCCGGTTACAAGGCAGGCTGGGACCCGACTCAATAGCCCATGAATTCTAACTTCTACCAACTCGTGATTTTAACGAGTCATCGGGGTGGGCATTTGTCCTCACTCCCGACAGGATGGACCCTGCTGGTCACAACTTCTTACTAGAACTACAGGAAACTCCGTTGTGTAACTAGTCACTAGCGAGTATCAGATTAATTTTCTATAGTTGGTTTTTAAGGAGTGGTTTTGTTTCTACGAGTTGATCACGGATTGATATCAGTTAAAGAGTCATTAAAAACCAGGGAGTACTGGACAGCTGTTTCATCCTAGTTTGGAACTCATTGGCAGTACGCACTCACCAGAACAAAACAGCTGTCCAGTACTTCCTGGTTTTCAGTGGTTCTCTAAATGATATCAGTCTGTGGTCAAACTTGAAAAACAAATCAAATCCCCCTACAAACCAACCCTTGAAAATTTGTACATGTTGCTTATTTATCAGAATGATTTTGGTTACTTGTAAAAACTTTTGTTTTTATTTGAAAAAAATGATGGAGGGAAAACTGTGTTCGATATATTTTGGAGAATCAACTAATAAAGTATTGATGATGATTATTATTATACGTATTTTTGTTAGTTTTAACACGAAGTTGAATTGATGATAATAGATAGTTGTAGGCAATAGGCCACAGGAAGCCTTGCTCGACCTAGGTTTCGCGCTAGTTGGCACTCACTAGTCAGCAAGGCGTAACTGCAATCACCTTGAAGTAACTCATGTCCCTTCTGAGATTCGAACCCGTGTCGCGCAGTGCCGCCTGAAGTCAGAGGCGTCACCACTGAGCTATTCGGGGTGGCTGGCGATTGACCTCCTGTAGGACTGATGGCGAGCTACCTAGAACGGTGGCCACATTGCACACTTGACTGATAGAATTCAGTCTGCACCAGAGAAAGGCCCAGACACGTCTCACTAGTTACTAGTGTTCAAGTTACCTTTGAATTTTAAGCTCATATACTGTATTTTCTCGGTTACGGAGGATAAGTCACATTTCATAGGATTTGGCTGTATCTTCTTGTCTATAAGACTTGGCGGAAATCTATTTTCCATTAGGATTTTTCTTAAAAGATTTAAGATTCTTTCACAATATCAGGACTACGGGTGGCAAGCGACCAGATCAGATTTTGTTTTTGACCAGTGTATCATGTGTCATAAAATTCAAGTTTTCATTTCAATTTATCAAGTTCACCATTTCAGAATAATCATGTTAGTAGCTCCGCATTGACTAACCGAGTTTTCCATCATGTATGTGCGCACGGTTCATTTTATAAAAAACACTTCATTAGTGTAGGAGGAAACTATTGTAAATATTAAGTTAAGCAACCTCTATTTTTTCATTCTAATACATCATGGAGAACATTTAGAAAAGTATGGGCTAGTGCAAAAACTGAATGCTATACTTATAATGATATTGATACCTTAATATAATATAACAAGCTCACTGAACTAGCGGAAATGGGTCTCTTCGTTTATTCCGATTTGCATAAAACACCGGAATTCTGTCTAAGTTTGTATAAAAGGAACTACGCGTCTTATTCTCTACACGACCGTTGGTGATTCCTCGATTGAAAGATGAAGTACCTAGACTAGCCACTTTTAATTGTATCTACCAGTTCAACTGCGCTTGTGGAGCGAGTTATATTAGTCATTGCTCTAGGAACTTGATTTTTCGTGTTCACTCGAGAATATCTCCCACTATGGCTAAGTAAATGCGTAGTGAAAACCACTAACAGTCCGATATTGGACCATCTGGTGCTAACCGGCCACAAAGCCAGTATTGAAGAATCCTTCTCTATCATCTACCTAGTACCAAATAAACTACCACATACTCCAAACAGCAGACTCGCAAAAGAAGCGAGTCCAGCCACTACTACAGTCCTTACCGGCCTTCAGTAGAGACTATAAATTCATGAATTTGTATCATCACTATTTTTCCTAATTTTTCTGACATTCTGTTTATTGTTATGTTGATGCTATTCAGCTGTAATCTATCAATATTATTCATTTGATGTTAGTTAAACATTAATGTCGTTCATAAGACTAATTCATCCATTCACTATAATGTATATATAACTGTAGAGCCTGATGATGAATTTCATTTATTAGATTTTCACAAGTTGCCCAATTAGTTTGACATCCTTTTTGTTTTGCTTACATAACATTTAATTGAATATAAAGTCTAGATAACTGAATTATTTCATTTCTTCTAAATCTCTTTCACAGTAGAGTAGTAGATACACTTACTTATTTCTTAGTAGAATAATTAAATTTTCTCAGAAGTGTTTCATTTGCTGTAGAAAAACAATTAATAATCTATGAAAATGTATTGTCTGCAACTGTGGGTCAATTTTCGATTCGTTTTTTCTTTCTTTTTGATATCTATCTTTGTGAGAGATTAAGTGGTATTTCAGCTGTAGAGAGATCAATAAATGTACACTTCATTGCCTGGCATACATACACTCACACATGCACACAAAGGCGCATACCTGTGTTTGTAGAGTAGTTGTAAAATTGATTGAAGCTCTAAGTGTGTGAGGCGCTTCACTTTGTCGTTTACTTATTCATGGTGAACCATTTATTTGCCTGAGGTGTTTTCGATATTTCTTGATATTCAATATACATCACAATAACTTATTTTACTATAGATTTCAATACAACTGTGAATATATCAGTTCAAAGACATCTGTAATGTATTTGATTAGGCTAGGAAGAAACAGTTCAACATCAGTTGTTTTTCTGCTAGTACACATAGCTAGTTTGATTTCTTGTTCATACTACTGAATAAAAAAAATATTCGAAAAGGTACTTTGAAATGACAAGTATTATGAAATAATTTACTTCTGGATTAAACTATCTGCATTGTATTATTATTTATTTATTATTCCCTTGCGTTCCGAGTGGAACATAGGGCTGCAACCACACATCTCCACTTTGTCCCATCTTTTGTCGTCCTCTTCAGCTCGGACAACGATTGCCCACAATCTCTCATCTCCTCCACACACGATCTCCTACATGTCATCCTCGCATCGACGACCCACTCGTCGCTTCCAAATGGGATTCCACTCGAGGCATTGCCTGGCGTGCGATGTCATTCGGCAACCTCCTCAATGTATTCCCGATCCATCTCCACTTTTTCCTACATATTTGTTGAGCGATCGGCTCTTGGTTGGTTTGTTCCCACAGTTTCTTGTTACTTATTCTTTCTGGCTGTCCATTTGATCTTCAGTATGGAGTCAGCGAAGACAGCTGTTGATGAAAGTCTGCACTGGTCTGTTGGAAATGCTTTGCGTGACACACAGTACAAGTTTCCGACCCGTATAGAAGCACTGACCGCCTTGACATTAGTGCCGAAAATCCGAATCTCGTTCCTTATGTTGGCCGAGTGCGGGATGATTTCCAAACTGGTTTCAGGTTGATGAAGGCGTATCTTGCCTTTCCAATTCTGGCTGACTTTGACATCTTCGTCCGTGCCATCCGCCTGTAGTTGAAACGATGCTTCCTAAATAAGTGAAGGAGGTAACCTCTCTCAGATCTATCCCGTTGATGGTGATTGGTGCTGGTTGTTGTTGTCGTTGTTGATTGGTTGTTTTCATCACCTCCGTCTTCTCTATGTTCACCTGCAGTCCTATTTTCGCCGCCAGCCTCTTCAGCCAGTTTGTTGGTTTTCGCTTG